CCAAATTGTCTTATGAGCTAAGCATAACATTTTAAAAATATAAGGAAATTAAGATAGGTAAAATAAAGTTCAATCTTTTTCATGCACATAAAAAAATGGTAAACAAAATATTAGCAAATCAAAACCAACAATATACTAAAAGAATACACAAGAAACAACTGGATTTATATAGTAATCCAATATTGGTATATTTAAAAATTAATCAATATTATTTCCACATTAAATACAGAGGTCAAATCATATCATCAAAATAGATATTAAAAAAAGCTTTTGATGAAAGTTAACTCTAATGCATGATAAAAGCTCTCAACAGACTAGGACTAAAAGGAAAACTTCCTTTACCTAAAAAAGAGTAACTTCCTTAACCTAATAAAAGAGTAACAATTTTTTTTTTTTTTTTTTTTTATTATTGCAGTACGCGGGCCTCTCACTGTTGTGGCCTCTCCCGTTGTGGAGCACAGGCTCCGGACGTGCAGGCTCAGCGGCCATGGCTCACGGGCCCAGCCGCTCCGTGGCATGTGGGATCTTCCCAGACCGGGGCACAAACCCATGTCCCCTGCATCGGCAGGCGGACTCTCAACCACTGCGCCACCAGGGAAGCCCAACAATTTTTTTTTAAAAAAGCTGTTGCAAACTTCATACCCCTGGAATCACAAACCAGAAAAAAATTGATTTTCAACAACTGAATTTAATATTTTAAGGAAGAAACTCTCTATTGTAATAATATAGGAAAAAGAAATAACAAGTATAACAAAAGAAAGAAAAAAAGCTGTCATTATTTGGAAATGGTATGATTGTGTACATGAAAAATTTTTTCAATTTATAAACTAGGATTAATAAGTTAATATATCAAGATGCTTAAATACAAGATCACTACACAAAAATTAATTGTATTTCTAGTCTAGCAACATGGTTACAAAATGAAATCTAAAAATATCAGTTATAGGCTCATCAACAAACATCAAAGACTGATAAATAAATTTAATGAAACATGAACAAGAATTCTACATTAAAAATTATTAAAAATTAATAAAAGTAACACATATAGGGTCACCTGATTCACAATGGAAGTTCCTTTGCAATCAAATGTAGAAAAAGTAGTCTTTAAATAAATGATGCTGAGAAACCCACAAAGAATAAAATGAACCTTGACCTATACCTCACAAAACACAAAATAATACCAGACGGATCATAGACCTAAATGAAAAAGATTTTTTTTTATAGATCACATAAGATAACAGAGGAAAATATCTTCATGACCTTCAGGGTAGAAAATAACTTTTTTAACGAACACAAAAAAGCACTAATCATAAAGAAAAGCTTAATTACATGCACTTCACCAAAACTAAGATCTTCTCTTCCATAAAAGATCTATACAGGGAGGGAAAAGCCAAGCCACACACAGGAAGACATTTTGTTTAATAAACACACACACACACACACACACACACACACACTTCCAACAAAGGACTTGTATCCAGAATATACCAGTAAGTCAGACAACCTACCCACCTGCTCCCACTCCCCCAATCCCAAAATGTGCACTTATGAAAAAGGATATCCAAGTTATATGAAGTAATATGAAAATGGGATCAACTTTAAGAGTTATTAGGAAATGTAAAATGAAATCACAATCCAATACCACTACTCATCCACCAAAAAATGTCCAAAGTTTAAAAAATGACCCAAGTGTTGGTGAGGTTGTGAAGCAACTGGGACCTTAATACACTGTTGGTCAGAGTACAAATTGACAACCAACTGGGATATTATTTGGCACTACCAACTAAAACTAAATATGCCTAACATGCAAACCAGAAATTCCACTAGGATTATAGCAAACACAGATGAGTGCTTCTATCTCCCAAAAGACCTGTACATGAATGTTCATAACATTATTAACAGTGGCCAAAAACTATAAACTTGAATACCTACCAACACTAGTATGGATAAAATATTTGTGGTATATTCATATAAAGGAATACTGTGAACCAATAAAAAACAAAAATGAATCACACAAGCATAATATTGAGCAAAAGAAGACAGAAACAAAAGAATATATAATTCCACTAATATAGCATTCAAAAACAGGCAAAATAAATCTATAATTATAGAAGTCAGAATAGATGGTTAATGAGAAGGTGGTTATCCACATAGAGGGGGCAATGGGAGCCTATCTTGATTTGCATAACAGTTACAGAAGTTCATGCAAATGTACAAATCCATTAAGCTATATGTGTATATAACACAATTTTGTTAAGACCTCAAAATAAATGTATTTTCAGACAAAAAATGCAGATAATTTATCTCAGCAGACTTGGCAAAATACTAAAGGGAACTTTTAAGTGAAAAGGAAAATTATATGGAAGACAAGTATATGAATATAAATAAGTATGTGAATGTGAAGAGTAAGAAAAAATGTAAATACATGGGTAAAGCTAGAATGAATAGGGACACTATAATCGTATCTTTTGGGGTTTCAAATATATGTAGAGCTAATGACAATGAAAGGTACATTTGGGTAAATGGGAACTGGCAAAATACAAATTTACCAAGAATACAAGTGGCAATCTCTAGGGAAACCAATAAAAGAAGGTACAACTCAGAAATGAATAGAAGGGGGAAAGAATAATTTAAAATATTCAGTTAATCCAAGAATTGAGAGAAACATAATACAGAATGGACAAGACAAACAGAAAACAAATAGTAATACGTAACGTAATTACATTAAATGTCAACTGACTACACTCCAATTAAAGATAAGACATTATCAGACTAGATCAAAAAATAAAAACTATATTCTATTTAACACTAAACATATAAAGTAATAGCTGAAACTAACAGGGTGGAGCAAGATATTTAATGCAGAAGACTAATAAAAAGAGCTAGAATCATTCTACTAACATCAGATTAAGTAAAGTTTAACTCAAAAAGCATTACTTAGAGATAACAAGGATCATTACATCATGATAAAAGAGTTAATCACTAGGGAGATATAATAACTTGATATTTTTTATCAGTGAAAACTGAAAAAAATAAAATAAGAAAGAAATAAGCAAATCCTCTCTCAGGAAATGAAATATCACACAGAGAAAACAGTTAAGGATATGGAAGATTTAAATAAGATTAATGTCTTTTACCTAACTGATATTTACAGAACACTGCACAGCAAATTTCAAAGACTTGAAGTCAGACAATGTATATTCTCTGACTGCTCTGGAATTACATTATAACTCAAAAACAGAAATATAACTAAAAACCCTCCAAATACTTAGAGATGGAGTGATAAACTTCTAAAATCATAGATCAAAAAAAAACATGACAGAAATTTAAAATCACATTGGAAATCACATTGTATTTTGAGGAAATCTATAATGAAAATATGACATATCAAAACTTTGCTATAGCTAAAGCTGCTTAGAGGAAAAAGTATATAGCACATTTGAAAAGATCTAGAAATCAAAGCTCTAAGCATCTAACTCAAAAAGTTAAAAAAAGAAGAGGAAGTTGAAACCAAAGGGAGAAAAGAACATTAAAAGATAAAAGCAGAAATGAATGAAACAAAACAAATCTACCACAGAAGAATACAAAGGGCAAAAGTTAATTCATTGAAAAAATAACAGAACTGATAAACTGCTAAGTGTAACAAATGAAAAAAATGAGAAGTGCAAACAACCAATATAGTAATAAATATGAAAAATCAGATGACATGGATGAACCTAGCAAAACTGACACATCTATACAAAATATCCAAATAGTTCAATTTCAATTTAAATAATTAATTATATAATTTAAAACTCTCTCTCTAGGAACCTCCAGGCTCAAATGGCTTCACCAGTGAAATCTTCTAAGCATAAAAGAAAGAAATAATAACAATCTTCTCAAACTCCTCTAAAGAACAGTAAAAAAGGAAATACCTCCCTCTTTTTATGAGGCCAGAAAAACCAAGATACCAAAATCTGATCAGGATGTGATAAGTAGGAAAATTACAGGCCAATTTCTCTCACAGATCCAAAACACACACAACACACACAAATAGCAAACTGAGTCCAAAGGTAAATTAAAAGGATAATACATCCCAACAAAGTTGGCTTATTTTAAAAATGCAAGGTTAGTTTCACATTGAAAATAAACCAGTGTAACTCAACACATTAACAGAGTGAAGGAGAAAAGCTCTGAGTGTCTCAAAAGATGCTGATACAGCGTTTTATTAAAATCCAACACAATTCATGATTTTAAAAGTAAAATTAGCGAGGTTGCTGGGTATGAGGTCAATAAACAGAATTCAACTGTGTCTAACTACTAGCAAAAACAATTAGAAAATGAAACTTAACCAATAATTCTAATTAAAATAACATAAAGAATATCACATACCTAGGAATAAATCTGCTGAAAGATGTATAATCCACTCTACTGAATGGAAACTACAAATAATTAGTGGGTTAAATTTATAAAGCCCTAAATAAATGGAGGCATATACCATGTTCATGGATTGGCTGACTCAATATTGTTAAGATGTCAATTATCTACAAAGTAATCTCTAGTTTCAGGGCAATCCTAATCAAAATTCCAGCAGATGTGTGGGTGCTGGGTGTGGATGTGGATTTTTAAGAGTAAGTAAAAACTGAAACACTTATTCTAAAATTATATGAAAATATAAAGGGCCAAGAACAGAGGAGAAGAGGGAGGAATTTAGAGTATACACACTACCAGATATCAAGACTTCTTAAACAAAAGTAATTTAAGGCAGTGAGAGACATACAGACCAATGGAACAGAAGAGAGTACAGAAACATACTCAAACTTCGATGACATATGAAAAATAGAAATATCTTGGAAAAAAATTCCATGTAGAAAGGCTTCATTCAGAAGTTTAATGATTTCTGATCAATGATATCAATTACAACACCAAGTAAATAATATTTCAGTTAAATTCTCTCACAGACTGTATAAAATAGCTTGCAAAACAATTATCAGATCTTCTATAAAATCTTTATCTCTTACCTCTCCAAAAGCCCCTCGACCAATCACCTTTAATATTTCAAAGTCTTCTCTATGTAATCGCATCTGTTTCACTTTAGAAGTAAATGGTTTAGCTGAAACAAAAAGGCAACATCAATTACTTAATGAACTGTGATACAAATTAGATATAAATAATGATATTTCTTACTTAAACAATAAAAATGAAAATAAGGAATATGCCAAAGTATTTAATAGTCTCATCAAACTATATTGAGAAGAAATAGACTTAATTTTCATATGATGTTTATTTCTTATATATGAATTATATTTTGGGTGAGAAACATACTTTTAAACACCAAATAATGCAAAGTACTAGTGATGTACAAATGAGACCAATTTATTCTCATTTTAAACATTCTGTGTATTCTAACTCAATGCTAGATACATATTTTAGCACAAAGGTCCAAGAAGTAAAAGCAAATTTCTTGGCACCAGAGAGAAATTCAGCAATCCCCACCAAGTAAATTAATATTTGTCACACTCATTCATTTATTGATCATTTTAACATGCCTTTAGCAAGAGTTGACATTATACAAAGTATGGTGGCAATTACTGGAGCTTAAAACAAATATAATTACAATATGGTACCTTCATTCAAGAACTTCTCAGTCTTCAGAAATAGATACAGTATGTACACACATATAACACAGTAATGTGATAAAAGTTTCTAATAGAGGGGCTTCCCTGGTGGCGCAGTGGTTGAGAGTCCGCCTGCCGATACAGGGGACACAGGTTCGTGCCCCGGTCCGGGAAGATCCCACATGCCGCGGAGCGGCTGGGCCCATGAGCCACGGCCGCTGAGCCTGCGCATCTGGAGCCTGTGCTCCGCAACGGGAGAGGCCACAGCAGTGAGAGGCCCGCGTACCGCAAAAAAAAAAAAAGTTTCTAATAGAGATAAATACAAAGTGCTTCAGGATCAGTGAAAATGGAACCCTAATTCTCTTGTAAGAACACTAATGTTTCACAGAGGAACTAACATTGGATCTGGACCTTGAGGACTAAGTAGACTTTTGCTAATTTGCCTGTTTGCAATGTACTATAAATATTCCCAACAGAGGGAGCAATATAAGCAAATGAAGAGAGGCAAGAAAGTGAACTTGGGTGATAATGGTAAATAATCCACTGTTGTTGTAGAATTATAAGAAGAAATACAAAGAAATCAGGGCTAGAAAATGGAAAATATAAATGGCCTTGGATGCCATGCAAGGAACTTAGACATTATTCTATTAATTATAGGGAACATATTGACATTTTTTTTTAATTATAAAACCAATTACATGTTCTGCTGCCTCTAAGAGAAATTTAGACCTGTCTCCTTTCCTCCCCTCATGTCCCTCCTTATTCTCACACAAAAAGGAGTTAATACAATTAAATGGTCACTGTATATGGGTACAGCTCTCTTCTCCTTCCTACCATGCACGAGAGTGTGGAAGATCAAAGGTATGTATTTGAGCATTAGAAAGGGAAA